ATGTTACAACGCTTTCATACACCTTTTTTTTTTCTTTTCACATCTTGCCTATCTATAATGCAAAGTAATTTTCATTTTAAGATTAAAAATACTTTTATGCATCAGAAAAGTTTGAAATTTCACATGTGAAATCTTTATAATGTCTGGATAGTTATCAAACATTGCTTAAGAAAAAACTTTATATTTTATCTGTTATTTTCAATCTATGTATGGGTTTGGTAAATTTTACTGATCTCGCAACCATCATAAAAATTAGGAAATAAACATAAATTTTGCCTCTTTCATTCTAGAATGAACACCAATTATTACATGAAAACATAAATGTTTAGATGAAATAGCTTAAATTTCATAACATTATACATTTATTACTTTTATTACATTGACCTTTCATCCGTTCCTAGCTAATACAGAAGTTACAATGACATGGCTCACGTGCACTCATGTTACCATATCAAAAAACATATCAAAAGGTGACCTTTGGTCTATACAAAATAACTTGTCTTGGCTGTGTTTTATTTGACTAGTATTTTGTAAAATACAGTCACACTTCAATTATTATACATTATATATGTACATAGATTATTGCTATTTTGAAATAAGTTCTTAAAGTTGTTTTTTCTAAAACATAGAACAGTAAGTATAGAAGTAAAGCAATTATATCTACTAGTTACGACTTTTGTACTCGGTTGCTGCTTGATGTAGGTTGCTAAGCATTTAAAAATTTTGCACGTGGACGATATAAAACAAAATATTTTTTTTAGGTTTTTATATATACTTTTGAATAACTAAAAAATCATAAATTACCACATCGATACCATAGAATTATACAATAATTTATCAAACTTAGTAACTAAGTTGTATTTGGGTCTAAAAAAATGTGAAATTCCGAGCAGACTTAAGACACAACCTATCTCATTGAAATCTTGGTTCAAAAGAAAAAAATTGTGCTAGGTGCATTAGAAAAGCTGAGAAAACCACTAGGGGACATTCTGAGATTCCAATTGGTTATTCATGACATATATAGAAGTAAGCGTATATAAGGGAGCATTTCCAAAAATGGAATTAGGTGAGTGGGGGTGCCACTGTATTTGATTTATTACATGAGCAATATCTTAGCAAATAGAAAAGATAATACCTTATTATTTGATATTCTAGCTTGTCAATATCTGTAATTTGAGTTTCTAATTGGTATAAAACTATAGACTTAGTATTTTGACTTCACAAACATCTAATTTGAACCAGTGCTGCATTCAACATACAACTTGACACAAAAATCGATGTTTAACTGTGTTTTTTAATATTTACTTTTAAATTAACAAATTGAATAATGTATAGTTCTAAAATTTGAATTATAATCTACAGTTTGATACCAAACTTATTGACATAAATTCATAAAGTAGTAGTTCAATAAAATTTTGAATGTGAGTCAACAAACGAGATGGCATGGCCTTTCACTTGTGACCCATCTCGAAAGGGTTAAGTAATTTCTTCATTTAAAAGTAAATATTAAAAAACACTCCTAAATTTGATTGATTTTCACTTAAGCAAGTTTTATATTTAAAGTTACCCGAGTAACTCAAATTTTTGACTGGGAGTAATATTAAAGCTTGTTTATTTTATAAATCTAGAGTATAGATATTTCAACAGGAAGGTTTTTTTGGGTGTATCATTTCTTTTTTTTCCTAACATCATTTACCAGACCCAGATAAAAATTACTTTACTGCAGTTTTTGCTATACATGATATGAATCATTGATAAACCATTTTTCTTGCAACAAAATTGATTTTCATATATCTATTTCTCTTTGTAGTGGAAAACAAGCGCAAGTCAGATGAGCAACTGGAAAATAGCACAGCTAAAACAAAGAGAATGGAGAATAGACCCAAGTGTTCAGACCTTATTGTTCTTGGCTTACCATGGAAAACTACAGAACAAGATCTACGGCAGTATTTTGAAGCATATGGTGAAGTGTTAATGGCACAGGTATGAGCACTTACATTTTTATATTAAATATAGATTTTTTTTTGTCACAATAATTTTTATTCATCTTTTCCCTTTTTTAAGTAGTAGGTGCATTTCATTCTTATTGCTGCTGTTGAGAAAGACTGATTATAGATGTATTTTCAAGCTGGTTAAAGAGTAACATTTGGTAACATTGTTAAATGAACTTCTACTGTCATGCACTTTTGAAAGTCAAAAGGATCAGTTACTATTTTAATTTTTTTTTGCAGACTGACCATGGTGTGACCACATCCCTGCACTTATAAGGCTCAATCAATTATCTAATATCACATAGTCTATATATTTGTGCAAATAAATAGTCTACAAATATATGTTGAAAGTTCTGACAAATTAGCCAGCCAATGTATGACAAAATTCAGGTCAAAAAGAAGTTTTTTCACTTCAATATATAATTTTTAAAGTTTTAAATATTAATTCTATATTCTTATGCACAATTATGTGGTAAAAAATTATGCAAACTTATGATTAATAATAGAACTTATCAAAACTAATCTGTGTTGTAGACTGAATAATATAATATTAAATATTTCATTAATTATATTGTAAATATGATTACAAAACATATATATATTTGTATACTTTGCCAATTTTTGACTGATATGACTTGGAAGTCAAATGTTGCTATGTGTTTGCTGCCATGGAGCACTGTAGGAAACATAATTTTGCCTCAATTTCAATGGGTTACTGACTTTTATTTATAAATTTTTGATGCTCTGCTGACATAAGTTCATAATTTTCTATTGCCTTAAGGGTTTTAGAATGTTAAAAATCTTCCAGAAAATTGAAGGACTTGGGGATGGGTGGGAGGGGGCTGGCAGTGGCAGATTGATTTACCCTAAGTCAATAAACACACTTTTAAAATAAATAACACGTTATTTATTGGAATGTGTAAGTGTGTTTTTACGTGCATATAGGAAAGCAGAAGCCTTAAAATTTTCAGTGCACAGACCTATGACCCTTGTTTGTACTCATTGCTAATTTCTGAGGATGGGAAACATATACCTTACTTCATACTAAATGAAACCAGCTTTACTTAACTTAATGTTATGAAATGTATATTATACAATACAAACATGCATTTTTAAGTTCAACGATTACTTTTATAGAGTTATTTGGTTTACCACTCATACAAATGCTGGAGTTTTGTAAACCAAGATTGTTGTGTTTAAAATTGTTTCTCTACTAGATAAAAGGGTACCAACAAATGTTGTATTGTTTTATTGTAAAGATGTGTTTATCCCTATTGCCCTTGGTATCCTTTACTGCACATGATTCAAGGTTTTAGTGCCTTACATTCAAAATTTTATTAAACTACTTTATGTTTATGTTATACCAATTAGAATAGCATAAAATCTTAGCTAATAATCCATATTTTAATATACACCTGGAAAAAAGTTAAGCACCCCCAAATATTTTTCAGGATTGCTTATTGAAAATAAGGTTTAATTTTCATGATGTTGAGCAATGTTCATAATTT